TTTAGGCATGCATGCATACCCACCCAGCATAATTTTCAAACAGCCAGGTCCAGGACTCAAACCATGGTCAGCCATGTGGAAGTCCAGCGCTTTAACTGCCATGCTGCCAGCTGGCCTCGTTCTGTAGGTGGTCAAGAGTGAAAGCAAGGAGATCTGTTATGAATATAAATGATTAAGGAGAAAAATTGAGTGAGGCAGTAAGTAAGGTTCCTAAAGAACTTTCAAAGTACTAATCAGACAATAGTTATTAATAAGTCAACTGGTACTCACCAAAGCAAGTCTAATAATCAGAACATATCTGTTAACAGCACAAGAGATAAAAAAGAACAGAGGAAGCATTCATCTGAATTTAAGGTTCCTTGTCAAGCAAGCAATATATCACCATGTACGTCCTTCATGTTTATGGAGATGAAGAAAAGTGTCTAGCTCAGTACCTGGACCATCGTAAATGCTCAGCCTAATACTCGTCACCTTGTGTCCTACACGCCTAAAAATAAAATCCAGTTGATATTTACATGGTCTGATAGTCCAACATGGCTCGACCTTATGGGTTGATGTAAATAATTAAAATGGGAAGAAGTGACCGCATATTTAATCGTCTGGTGCTGTACTATGGTAATCCCACACGCAGCCTGGATTTGCAAAACATTTTATATACATATCCCCCTACTATGGACTATGGCTTGGAATCTCAGTACCTCATATTGATGGCCCTTTTAAGACAAGCTAAGCACTCTTCTAACAAGTGCCATGAAATCCCAGTCTACTCAGCCGACCCCTTCTGACCACTTCGTCATAATCCTCTCTCTTCTGCCTTAGCTCTTTTTAAAGTATCAGCTTGCTTTTGTGTCCAGAATTACTTGCGTATTTTAATATCATTTGTGCCCTTTTTGATGGACTATTTATTTCCTATCATCTTTAGTGAAATTTCCAGATATGATGTAGGGAGCTGTATTCACAAGATTCATATTTGTTTCTCTTTTGCAAAAGAACTGTGTGGGTCAGTCCTATGTCATTCAAAGCCCTTAAAGTCATGGTATTCACATGCAAACCCAATCCCTGGGGTCAAAACTCCCTTGAGACACACGAGCCCATATGTGTTTTAGTAGCAGTTTATATGCCCCTATCTAGTTGTTTTCTTTGATTCTACTTACTTATTAATTTGCATCATAACTAGCATATTAAACTGGTTAATTGTTTTGATGTTTAGACTATAAAATATTATAGCTAGCTAGCCGAAGTCTATTATTAAAGAGCAAAGGGTTTATGCTTCATGAATAATGATGAAAAATGATGTCATTTCTACAATTTTATATATATATATATATATATATGATTATGTGTGTTGTGTCCT